TCAGGTGATCCGCCCGCCTTGGCCTCCAAAGTGCTTGGATTACAGGCATGAGCGCCACACCCGGCTGATTACACCATTCTTGAAGCGGCTATAGGACTCGAATTTACAGAAAGCCACAGAGGTGCAACTTGGCTCTACTACTAGCAAGCTACCAGTGAGACTGTTGGGTAACCACCTTTCCATACAGGAGACTGGAATCTACTTTGTCATTTATCCACCAACAGTGACAAAGGAAAAGTGGTGCCGTTATGCAATCCATTTAACTCATAAACATATCACTCTGAGTAACTGGCCAGCCACTCATCGGATCCTTCATTGGGTACTCTTAAAATCAGACGTGTTCCTGTAGAAAGAATTTTAAGTTAGGCTTTCTATGCACCTTTCAAGAATCAAGAGAATAGATTGTATCAAACAACGGCAGGGAAATCCTTCAGCAATTCTAATCCACTTTGGGTTTTCAGCTGTTTTTACATCTAAAGCAATAGACTAGAACTGAATTCTCTTCTGCATTGTAAAATCACAATTGTGGAATTACAGGAATTCTGGTGATGATATTAAGCTGAAATAAAAACCACACAGCAGGCCCTAAAACAGTTGATGTGACAATAAATTTTAATAGAGAGAGAGAACCTGTAACTTCATTTTGGAAATGCTCCTCCACCAAATAAGGGCTTTTCTCCCTATTGTTTAAGGAGCCAGACAGATTGAAAGATGTGGAAATAGGCAGCTGTAGAACTTGATCTTCCAAGTACCCCATGTACTGTTATTGAGCTTAATTATAATACTATCAGATTGCCAGGATCTCACTAAAGGATTTCTATTTGCTGTCAGTTAAAAATAAAGCCCTGAATACATTTTTATTCTTTCTACTGAGTGCATTGTCTGTTTTCTTTGTAAATGCAGTACAATAAATTATTTAATAACCTACATGTTTCCAAAAGATCTCTGTTCATTTGTTGCCCAAGTTGGTCTGCCCTTAGTAGTTGCCCTTGCCATTTTGTGGGGTTCATAGTTTTGCTTCTCGCTTTAAATTGGGAGTGGGATTGAATTAACAGAGCCAAATTAACATTTGTGGAATACTGTTTTTCAGACTTTTTTTTTTTTTAATTGTTTCTCCCTACATCCAGTAGCACTTTTTTCAGAAGATTTTGTTGGGGGTTGTTGTTTTTCTCAAATTATAAATGCACAGTGTGTGCAAAATTCAGAAGACTTAAAGATATAAGCTCTTACTAAGGCAGTGTGGCATGATGTATTACACAGGCTTATCTCTTCATTTCTTGGATAGATTGTTGAACTGGGCCAGAGAGCACATTTTTTAGGCTTTCAGTAAATATTGCCTAACTTATCTGGACAGCTAGCAGAACGATCGGACTATTTTTCTGTATATACAGTGTATGAACAGGCCTCTTCCATTATGAATTGCTAGTCTGTGCCGTGCTGCCCCCACCCCCACAGGAATATTGTTAGAATTTGCTTATTGGATTACTAGTGAGGACATAAACTTGTTTTCATAGGTATTTGCATTTTTTTGATTATTTGTAAATTGTCTGGCTTTCCGTTGGAGTGCTTTCTTATTTGATGACTTGGTCAGGACTTACATACTAGAGATAATGTATTACTTTTTGCTTTATACACTTGTCTAGTTCTTAAATTGCTTTTCATTTTTGTGATAGTTTTTAGTGTTACTCTATTCATCCTCCTTCCCCACCTACACCTGAACTACGTAAATTGTTCTAGTTAATTTATTTTCATTGTGCAATACTTAGAACACATTTAGTGTTTTCATAATGTTAAAATGTAACTTACTGGGATTCATTAAACCAGTATGTTCACCAGACTGACCAACCTAGGCAGGCCTCCTACACCTGGTGTTAAATGTATGAAGCTAGAATTCCCAGAGTTTGGGTAAACCTTAGTACTGTTACAGGACAGCTTGTAGCTATCTTAAAAGAGCCAACAAGAAGGTGGGTTTACAGCCCCTTTTAACTTTTTTTTTTTTTTTTTTTTGAGACGGAGTTTCGCTCTTGTTACCCAGGCTGGAGTGCAATGGCGCGATCTCGGCTCACCGCAACCTCCGCCTCCTGGGTTCAGGCAATTCTCCTGCCTCAGCCTCCTGAGCAGCTGGGATTACAGGAACACGCCACCATGCCCAGCTGATCTTTTGTATTTTTAGTAGAGACGGGGTTTCACCATGTCGACCAGGATGGTCTCGAACTCTCGACCTCGTGATCCACCCACCTCGGCCTCCCAAAGTGCTGGGATTACAGGCTTGAGCCACCGTGCCCAGCCCAGCCCCTTTTAATTTTGAGTTGGCTGGGCTCTACGTGTCCAAGGGAAACTAGCTGCTACAGAGCTGTCCCACCTTATAAATGGACTTCGTTACTGCCCATTCTTTTCCTTTGAAACTGTAGAGTCTTTCTATTTAGCCTTATAAGGAAACCATTTGCCCTTAGATTTGCTGTATCACAGAAAAATTGGTGGTTTGCTGATAAATAGAATCTGAATTTGTATTTGCTTTAAAATAAGGCCTTATGGCTGGGTACAGTGGCTCACAACCGTAATCTCCACACTTCGGGAGGCCAACACAGGACGAACACTTGAGCCTAGGGCTTTAAGATCAGCCTGGGCAACATTATGTTTACATAAAAATTTAAAAATTAGCCTGGTGTGTTGGCTGACACCTGTGGTCCCAACTACTCAGGCTGAGGCAGGAGGACTGCTTGAGCCCAGGATTTCAAGGCTGCAGTGAGCTATGATCATGGCACTGCATTCCAGCCTGGGCAACAGCAGCATGAGACTCCATCTCTACAAAAAAAAATTTTTTTTTAATAAGGCATTAAGGCACCAAAGAAGCTTGAATAGTGCCTTGGGAATTAGCAAAGCATTGATAGCATAAAGCTCTTAAAAATCTTCAGACTATTAATATAGAAAGGTGACTATAGGCTGGGTGCAGTGGCTCATGCCTATAATCCCAGCACTTTCGGAGGCTGAGGTGGGCGAACCACCTGAGGTCAAGAGTTTTGAGACCAGTCTGACCAACATGCCAAAACCCCGTCTCTACTGAAAATACAAAAAGTAGCCAGGTATGGTGGTGCATGCCTGTAATCCCAACTACTTGGGAGGCTGAGGCAGGAGAATTGCTTGAGTCTGGGAGGAGGAGGCTGCAGTGAGCCGAGATCGCACCATTTCACTCCAGCCTGGACAACAGAGTGAGACTCCCTCTCAAAAAAAGGTGACTATAAACCAGAGACCAACTGAAAAGGAAGTTTGTTTTTACATTGCTAAAGACATTGAAGTTGGAGGATTGGGCAGGTAGACTCCAATAAAAGTTGTGGAGCTTTGGCTGGGTGCAGTGGCTGATGCCTGTAATCCCAGCACTTTGGGAGGCTGAGGCAAGTGGATCATCTGAGGTGAGGAGTTTGAGACCAGCCTGACCAACATGGTGAAACCCCATCTCTAAAAAAATTTTTAAAGTTGGAATTTTAAAACTACATGCGTAATATGCATTTAAGTCCTTGCAAAAATCCACACTAAGTCCTTGTGATACAAGAGAAATATCCCAGTTAAAAGGCCAGGAAATTTGAGATAACATGTTAAGTGTTTAGAAATTTCAGGCCGGGCACCGTGTCTCCTGTGTAATCCTAGCACTTTGGGAGGCCAAGGCCGGCGGATCATTTGAAGTCAGGAGTTCGAGACCAGCCTGGCCAACGTGGTGAAACCCCACCTCTACCAAAAATTTAAAAATTAGCCAGGCATGGCCGGGCGCAGTGGCTCAAGCCTGTAATCCCAGCACTTTGGGAGGCCGAGGCGGGTGGATCACAAGGTCAAGAGATCGAGACCATCCTGGTTAACATGGTGAAACCCCGTCTCTACTAAAAATACAAAAAAGTAGCTGGGCATGGTGGCACATGCCTGTAATCCAAGCTACTCAGGAGGCTGAGGCAGGAGAATTGGCTGAACCCAGGAGGCGGAGGTTGCGGTGAGCAGAGATTGCGCCATTGCACTCCAGCCTGGGTAACGAGAGCGAAACTCCGTCTTAAAAAAAAAAAAAAAAAAAAATTAGCCAGGCATGGTGGTGCACACCTGTAATCCCAGTTACTCAAGAGGCTGAGGCAGGAGAACTGCTTGAACCTGGGAGGCAGAGGTTGCAGTGAGTGGAGATCATGCCACCGCACTCCAGCCTGGGCAACAGAGCAAGACTGACTCAAAAAAATTTTTTCAACCAAGGAATTAAGCAAGTTTTTTGTTTGTTTTAAGACGGGGTTTCACCTTATTGGTCAGGCTGGTCTCAAACTCCTGACCTCAGGTGATCCACCTGCCTCAGCCTCCCAAAGTGCTGGGATTACAGGCGTGAGCCACCATGCCTGGCAAGCAAGTTTACTTTAGTATCTAGTTATGTTTACAGGCTGCACCATTTCTTATAAAGGTAGGAGAGTTTCTAATATGTAGATGTTCACTTTGATTTTATATCCTTCCAAGTTCACTTTTTACAATAATCTCTGCCTGTTGTCCTTAATTTAGATCTAGTTCTTGCCCATTTTAGAACAAAAACAAGCATTGCCCTCCAAATGGCAAAATTGGACTGTTGACAAGTACATCAGCTGCCTGCACCACTTCCCAGTGGATGTTAAAGGATTCAGGTTCTGATGACCTCTCCATTCCTTACCGCCTTCCGAGCAGGAATAAGAAAACAAAATGTGAGAACGGAGAAGCCAAAAAACCCCTACACCTCACCCCAAAATGACCCAGCACATATCCAATCATCTCTTCAGTACCCCTCTTAGAGCTGGTTGGTTGTGTGTGTGTGTGTTTCTGTGTGTGCGTAAAAGCCATCAGACACAGACCTGGAGGGAAGGCCCCTAGAGAGGGACCCATTTACCCTCTCGCTTTACAGAGGAGAGGCCTCAAGAAGGTGCGGCGTGGAGCTAAAAAGAGGACTTGGGTCCCCAGCGGGTGAGCGCTGCTTACACTGCTCAGCCTCTGAATAGCTTTGATGTGGGTCATTGCAGTTCTGCTTCACCTGAAAGAGTACAGTAGGAGGTCTTGTCTCAGGAGACTGTCCGGTTTTAGTGTTACAACAAAAGGCTTCAGCCTTCAGGCCTAGAGCATCCAGGAACAAGGAAACTTGGAAGAACAAGTTCTTAACTCTGAAGAATTCAATTACCTAGTTTTCCATTGTCTGAGAAGTAGATGATGACCTGTGGTATAAGAAAAACAAAAGAACAAAAGATAGCAAGAGTTTAAAATTAAGTCATTTTAAAAATCAATATAGGCTGGGCATGGTGGCTCACGCCTGTAATCCCAGCACTTTGGGAAGCCTGGCCGGGTGGATCATTTGAGGTCAGGAGTTCGAGGCCAGCCTGGGCAACATGGTGAAATCCCGTCTCTACTAAAAATACAAAAATTAGCCAGGTGTGGCGGTGCTCACCTGTAATCCCAGCTACTCGGGAGGCTGAGGCAGGAGAATCCCTTGAACCTGGTGGACAAGAGGTTGCAGTGAGCCGAGATTGAGCCATTGCACTCCAGCCTGGGCGACATGGAGATGTTGTCTCAAAAAAAAAAAACAACAACCCTTCCCTATGTATGCTTAAATTTTGACTTCAGTTCTACCTAGACATGTTAATTTCCTCATCATGTGTAAGATAGTACTGACTGTCATTCAAGTAAAAACTTAGGCCTTCTAAAATGTAATATTAAAAAAAAGACAAAGACAAACATAGAGGTGTAGTTGCCTTTTTTTTTTTTTTTTTTTTTTTTTTTTGAGACGGAGTTTCGCTCTTATTACCCAGGCTGCTGGAGTGCAATGGCGCGATCTCGGCTCACCGCAACCTCCGCTTCCTGGGTTCAGGCAATTCTCCTGCTTCAGCCTCCTGAGTAGCTGGGATTACAGGCACGTGCCACCATGCCCAGCTAATGTTTTGTATTTTTAGTAGAGACAGGGTTTCACCATGTTGACCAGGATGGTCTCGATCTCGTGATCCGCCCGCCTCGGCCTCCCAAAGTGCTGGGATTACAGGCTTGAGCCACCGTGCCCGGCCCCATGTAGTCGCCTTTTGATGCACTAATTCCACTTGGGAATTTATCAACAGAAGCAAAAAGTTTTATTATCTATGATAGCAAAACTAAATGTCTAATAACCGAAATCTGGTTTTAAAAATGGTACACCAGGCCAGGCATGGTGGCTCATACCTGTAATCTCAACACTTTGGGAGGCTAAGGCAGGAGCATGGCTTGAGCCCAAGAGTTGGAGACCAGCCTAGACAAGACAAAACATTGTTTCTACATCAAACAAAACAAAAGAAGATTATTATAGTTGGGCAGGAGGTATGTACCTGTAGTCCCAGCTATTTAGGAAGCTAAGGTGGAAGGCTGGCTTGAGCACCAGGAGATTGAGGCTTCAATGAGCCGTGATTATGCCACTGCACTTCAGCCTGGGAGACAGAGCAAGATCCTGCCTCAAAAAAAAAAAAATTGTGGTACGCCAGTGCTGTGGCGTTTCTGGCTTTGAAAAACTTTAATAATAAACATTGCAAAAACATTTTTTTAAAAGGTTATGCTCTAATGCTTTTCTATTCAAAGTGTGATTTCTGTTTGAGCAGGCTGTCAGCTAGGAGCTAGTTAGAAATGCAGGGTCTGGCCGGGCGCGGTGGCTCACGCCTGTAATCCCAGCACTTTGGGAGGCCGAGGCGGGCGGATCACGAGGTCAAGAGATCAAGACCATCCTGGTCAACATGGTGAAACCCCGTCTCTACTAAAAATGCAAAAAATTAGCTGGGCATGGTGGCGCGTGCCTGTAATCCTAGCTACTCAGGAGGCTGAGGCAGGAGAATTGCCTGAACCCAGGAGGCGGAGGTTGCAGTGAGCCGAGATTGTGCCATTGCACTCCAGCCTGGGTAACAAGAGCGAAACTCCGTCTCAAAAAAAAAAAAAGAAATGCAGGGTCTGTGGCCCCGGACCACCTGACCAACTAAATCAGAATCTGCTTTATTTTTTTTTGAGACGGAGTAGTGAGAACCAGCTCTGCCACAGAGACCCCGACCCAGGCGGCGCTGAAGGAATTGAGAAGCAGACACCCAGACAGAAGAGCGAAGTGGGTCTATCGGGGGGCCCAACAGCCTTTTAAGCTGAGAGCCTCAGGGGCTGACAGCATTCTGGGCTGAGGGCCTTGAGCAGCCTCTGACCCACGTATTTATTCTCTCTGAACAGGTGATTATTATTAACAAACAGATGTTTGGCATTTTCTCAAAACACAAAAATATACCAAGTAGGCAGCTTTTGCCTGCTTCCCGCTGATCACAGACAAACTAAAAAGTATTCTCCACGAGGCAGCCACGGGGGCAGGGTCAGATGTCCCACACATAAAGAATTGTCTTAACCAGTGTATGATATTTATATGTTGTCCTGCCACTTTAGAATGCCCCAAGTAGTTTTCTACTTTGCTGGGGGCAGGGGGGCAGCTAGGTTTTCCTTGCCATCATTATTCCTAGCAAACAATATATTTTATCATACATTCAGCATTTCTCAGCAATCATACACTCAGCATTTTTCAACAATGGTATTTCACTCCTGTTGCCCAAGCTGGAGTGCAGCGATGTGCTCTCGGCTCACTGCAACCTCCGCCTCCTGGGTTCAAGCGATTCTCCTGCCTCAGCCTCCTGAGTAGCTGAGATTACAGGTGAGCATCACCACACTCAGATAATTTTTGTATTTTTGGTAGAGACGGGATTTCCCAGCGTCGGCCAGGCTGGTCTCCAACTCCTGACCTCAGGAGATCTGCCTACCTCAGTCTCCCAAAGTGCTGGGATTACAGGCGTGAGCCACTAAACCCAGCAGAATCTGCATTTTAACAAGATCCCCAGATGACTGTCTACACACTGAAGTTTGAGAATCATGCTCTAATTAAAGTGTGGGAGGTGGAGGTCACAATTTTATTTATGATTATTTTTAAAATATATGTGGTCAAGGATTGGAAGGTACTTTGCAAAAATAAAAACAGCTTAAATGGAGATAACCCTCCTCCCCACACAATGCGCCGGGTCAGCTCTAGGTCCTCAAAGCAGCTGTTAGGGAGGCGACACTGTTGTGGGGTTTTTCTTTTTTCTTTTTTTTTTTTTTTTTGAGACGGAGTTTCGCTCTTGTTACCCAGGCTGGAGTGCAATGGCGCGATCTCGGCTCACCGCAACCTCCGCCTCCTGGGTTCAGGCAATTCTCCTGCCTCAGCCTCCTGAGTAGCTGGGACTACAGGCACGCGCCACCATGCCCAGCTAATTTTTTGTATTTTTAGTAGAGACGGGGTTTCACCATGTTGACCAGGATGGTCTCGATCTCTTGACCTCGTGATCCACCCGCTTCGGCCTCCCAAAGTGCTAGGATTACAGGCTTGAGCCACCGCGCCCGGCTGGGTTTTTCTTTTTTTAATACATTCCTGAATGTTCTTGTTAAATCACATTTAACAAATGTGAGGACACTTAAAAAGATACATTAATATGTTATGCTTCTTTTTGAACCAGACATTAAAAGTGGTTAACGGCTGGGCGCGATGGCTCACGCCTGTAATCCAAGCACTTTGGAGGCCAAGGTGGTCACCTGATGTCGGGAATTCAAGACCAGCCTGACCAACATGGTGAAACCCTGTCTTTAAATAAATAAATAAATAATGAAAAAAGGAAAAAAAGTGATTTTTTTAAAAAAGTGGTTAACTTACTGTTTTTCTTTTTGCCTTGGCTATCCAGGAGCATAGAGCTAAATTTAATACTCAAGACAGTAATACCATTAGCCTAGCTTTTTTGAATATTTGTTTTTCTCTCTCTGACTTCTATTTTCTATTTTATTAAGTTTTCTAGTATGTTTCTTACAAATCACTTAAAAATTATTTCTGCCGGGCGCGGTGGCTCAAGCCTGTAATCCCAGCACTTTGGGAGGCCGAGGTGGGTGGATCACGAGGTCAACAGATCGAGACCATCCTGGTCAACATGGTGAAACCCCGTCTCTACTAAAAATACAAAAAATTAGCTGGGCATGGTGGCACGTGCCTGTAATCCCAGCTACTCAGGAGGCTGAGGCAGGAGAATTGCCTGAACCCAGGAGGCGGAGGTTGCGGTGAGCCGAGATCGCGCCATTGCACTCCAGCCTGGGTAACAAGAGCGAAACTCCGTCTCAAAAAAAAAAAAAAATTATTTCTGAAAATAAGGGTCCAAATTACAATAATGACTTCTAAAAAGAGTCTGCTCTTGTGTGCCAGGTTCCACAAAAGATGAATTTATGAAACTAACCTCTTGCCAGTTTTAAATTATTTCTTCTTTCCCTGATCTTTTCTGCCTCTCAAGACAAAAGTAAGGCTGGGCATGGTGGCTCACGCCTGTAATCCCAGCACTTTGGAAGGCCAAGGCAGGCAGATCACCTGAGGTCAGGAGTTTGATCAGCCTGGCTAACATGGTGAAACCCCATTTCTACTAAAAATACAAAAAATTAGCTGGGTGTGGTGGCAGGCGCCAGTAATCCCAGCTACTTGGGAGGCTGAGGCAGGAGAATTGCTTGGGAGAACCCAGGTGGCGGAGGTTGCAGTGAGCCAAGATCGAGCCATTGCACTCCAGCTTCGGCAACAAGAGCAAAACTCCATCTCAAAAAAAAAAAAAAAAAAAAAAAAAAAAAGGCACAAGTAAAACTAAAGGCTTCCTGTTTTCGCCCCAGTGAAAGTCTCAGAGGTCAAGTAGCTCCTGCCCCAGTGGAGTGGTGTTCCTCTGTCCCCAAGCAGAATCGCAGCACAACCCCTGGTGTCCCGCTGCCTGGGGATTCAGTAGGGAAGCAGAGAGCCCCAGCCCTTCTGAGGGGACACAGACCACTCACCCATAGAATTACTCACCGACCCTTCAGCTCCTTCTGCTTCATACCTCCTCTGTAATGAAGGAGAGAACAGTATATGTTACTACCAAGCCTCATTTTTAGGATAATTTCCTGCACACTACTCTATCTCCAGACTACATCAGATTCCTCTTACTCTCTCAAGAAAGCTTGCACCTTTTTGTTCACATAACTTATCAGCTTGTAATTCTGCACTGCATGATTGTCTCCCTTAACAGACCATAAGCTCCAATTTAGACTTCACTTACCACTGTACTTCCAGTGCCTAAAGGTGTTGTTCAGCAACTGGAGTACAGTAGCTGTTAGCAGTTAGGCAGATGTGTGATTTGAAAAATGAATATGATTCAATGCAGTGGTTCATGCCTGTAATTTCGGCACTTGGCACAGTGGTTTACACCTGTAATCCCAGCATTTTGGGAGGCCAAGGTAGGTGGATCCTGAGGTCAGAAGTACAAGACCAGCCTGGCCAAGATGATGAAACCCCATCTCTACTAAAAATACAGAAATTAGCCAGACCTGGTGGCAGGCGCCTGTAATCCCAGCTACTTGGGAGGCTGAGGCAGGAGAATTGCTTGAACCTGGGCGGCAGAGGTTGCAGCGAGCCGAGATCCCACCACTGCACTCCAGCCTGAGCATCAGTGTGAGATACCGTCTCAAAAAAAAAAAAAAAAAAAAAAAAAAGTCTGTAATTTCGGCACTTTGGGAGGCTTAGGAGGGTGGATCCCTTGAGGCCAGGAGTTTGAGATCAGCCTGGGCAACATGGTGAAACCCCATCTCTACCAAAAATATTAAAAATTAGCCAGATGTGGTGGCATGTGCCTGTAATACCAGCTGCTGAGGAGGCTGAGCAGGAGAATCACTTGAACCTGGGAGACAGAAGTTGCAGTGAGCCAAGATCGAACCACTGGACTCCAGCCTGGGTGATGACAAAGCAAGACTGTCTCAAAGAAAAAAAAATGGTAAATATACTGGAAAGAAAGGAGAAAGAACTATCAGACCTGCTGAATTAATTTATTAATCACTTGCAGTGTGCAGGCATTGTTAGTGTATTATATATGCTATAGGATCCTCAGCACGATCCTTTTTTTTTTTTTTTTTTTAAGAGAAGGTGTCAGTCGGGCGCGGTGGCTCAAGCCTGTAATCCCAGCACTTTGGGAGGCTGAGGCGGGTGGATCACAAGGTCGAGAGATCGAGACCAACCTGGTCAACATGGTGAAACCCCGTCTCTACTAAAAATACAAAAAATTAGCTGGGCATGGTGGCGCGTGCCTGTAATCCCAGCTACTCAGGAGGCTGAGGCAGGAGAATTGCCTGAACCCAGGAGGCGGAGGTTGCGGTGAGCCGAGATCGCGCCATTGCACTCCAGCCTGGGTAACAAGAGGAAACCCCGTCTCAAAAAAAAAAAAAAAAAGAAAAAAAGAAAAAAAAAATCCAAATGGGTAGTATAAAAATACTCTGTCCAGCCAGGCATGGTAGCTCACGCCTGTAATCCCAGCACTTTGGGAGGCTGAGGCAGGAGGATCATTTGAGGTCAGGAGTTAGAGAAGAGCGTGACCAACATGGTGAAACCCCGTCGCTACTAAAATACAAAAACTAGCTGGGCGTGGTGGCAAACACCTGTAATCAGCTACTAGGGAGATTGAGGCGGGAGGATCACTGGAACCCGGGAGGTGGAGATTGCAGTGAGCCAAGATGGCACCACTGTACCCCGACATGGGTGACAGAGCAAGACTCCCTCTAAAAACAAACAAACAACTCTGTCCACGAGGCCGAACAGATTTCAGGGTGGCTCTGCCCCGAGGCCAAGCGCTAGACAAAATGCCTCCAGCAGCTCTTGCTGGTGGTCCTTGGAAAAGCCTCCCTCCCTGGAGAAGCCCTGGTCATACAGACTGCTGCCGAAATGACTCGCTCCAACATCTCCTCACAGAGTTGCTGTGAGGATTAAATAACAGTGACCCTTATATCACTTTTACACATGGAAGAGGCTCAGTAAACACTAGGTCAATTTTTTTTTTTTTTTTTTTTTTTTTTTTTTTTTTTTTTTTTTTTTGAGACAGGGTCTCATTCTGTCATTCAGGCTGGAGTGCAGTGGCACACTCTCAGCTCACTGCTACCTCCGTTTCTCGGGTTCAAGCAATTCTCCCACCTCAGTCTCCTGAGTAGCTGAGATTACAGGTGTGCGCCACCACACCTAGCAAATTTTTGTATTTTTGGTAGAGATGGGGATGCACCATGTTGGCCAGGCTGATCTCAAACTCCTGACCTCAAGTTATCTGCCTGCCTCGGCCTCCCAAAGCGCTGAGATTACAGGCATAAGCCTCTGCCCCCTGCCCTACTCATTCATTTTTTCTTCCCTTTACAGAATCCTCAAGGGATCCAAGCCCCAGGCATTTCCCTCTACCCTACTGTGTTGGGAGAAACCTCCCTCTTCTCTCCTCCTTGGCCCAGCTCTTTCTAGTAATTTGTTTTCATCTTTAACCACATAACAGGTGATTATCCTTCTCCCATCCCCAAAGAAGGATGAAGTGTTTTCTGTCACTTCCTTATGAAGAAGTGGGCCCCAGGCTTGGCCAGAGAGGACCTGAGTTCTGGGCTCTTGTTGCTGTTCTGGGAACTTCTTTTTTTTTTTTTTTTTTTTTGAGACAGTCTTGTTCTGTCGCCAGGCTGGAGCACAGTGGCGCGGTGTTGGCTCACTGCAACCTCCGCCTCCCAGGTTCAAGTGATTCTTCCGCCTCAGCCTCCCAAGTAGCTGGGACTACAGGCGCGTGCCAAACGCCCGACTAAGTTTTGTATTTTTAGTAGAGACAGGGTTTCACCATTTGGCCAGTATGGTCTCGATCTCTTAACCTCGTGATCCACCCGCCTCAGCCTCCCAAAGTGCTGGGATTACAGGTGTGAGCCACCGTGCCCAGCCCGTCCTGGGAACTTCTGAGTGACTCTCCTTTCTGGGCTTCAAGTTCCTCATGTGGGAAGAGTCCTTGGTTATAGTGGACAGAAGAGTTTGGCTGCTTCTTCTAGTCCAAGGGCCAGTGTGAAAACAGCTATGGGGAAAAGAGACCAGACAGGTCCCTGAGTTGTAACAGGTCCCAGTGATGGCCACCTGCTGAGACCAGGCATTTGGGGATTCACAGTGGTGCAAGACAGGCCTTGCCCTCTGACTTGGGGAAGAAGTCTATCCTCTAAAAAAGTTAGCCCCTCAAGACTGGCAGAGGAAGAGCCCGATGAGAAACGGGAGTGGAAAGCACCCTAGGAAGGAGGGAAAGGGAAGCAGTCAGGGAGGGCTTCCTGGAGGGTCCACTTGGGCCTGGAGGGTCAGCCACAGCTGACTTTTATTACTGACAGGTAGGATTTGGATGGGAGGGAACTGAAACAGGACAGACATTACGAGAACCCCAAGGCTGCCATTCCTCCAGGGATCCTGGGCTCCCACCATCTGCAGTCCAGGAGCTGTCACTTCTTCACCCTCATTGGGTTGTCCTCAAGGTCTCTGCCTTTCTCCTCCTTCCCCAGCCTGTTGTTTCTCTCTCCACGGAGCAAACTCCCAACCCAGCCTCAGTGCCCCCTTCTAGGGGAGACCACACTTAGCCCCCAAGGCTGGATTGGGTCTCTCTCCCCTATAGCCTCTGGGAGTGCAGAGGGGTGAGGGGGACACTCCTCTATCACAGATTGCCTTGTCACCTGCTAGCTTGCACCCCTCCACTGGCCTTTGGCTTCAGGGAGGACAAGGGCTGTGCCCGATTAGTCTTGGTGTCCCCATCCCTTGGCCAGGGGCCAAGCCCCAGAAGATTGGCTAAGATGAACCCCACACACACCCCGGGTTCTCCAGGCAGGGGACACCGTTGTGGAGTTGGGGCGAGGGGGGATTACCGGTTCCATCTGCCTTGTAGTCATCAGGGAGGAGCTTGTCCTGCCGGTAGCCCAACAGGAAGGCCAGGAAGGAGAGGATGAGAGCGTCGCCAATGCTGAGGATGGCCAGCATGAAGGCCCAGCGGATGGTGCAGTGGCCCAGCGTGTACTTGCCCGTCTGCTCCCCACACATGCGCCGCACCTCACTTGAGTCCCAGCCGTCAGGGTAGACCAGGCAGCCAATCATTAGGCCTGTGGCTGAGGGCGGGGGAGGGGTGCAGATGGCATCAGACCAGTTGTGCCCAGCCCACTACCTCCCACCTTGCCCGGCTGTTATGTTGTCACCTGCTTTCTCCTTCTGTTAACAGGCTCAGGAGGCAGGAGAGGCAGCCTCTACCACCCTTCTTACAAAACACAGGTGAGAAAACGGAGGATCATCTGAGTGCTAAAGCAACTGGCCCCTGAGACCCAGCGGTCCGGGCAGAGGCAGAGAGCTGAGCTCCTCAGCCCAGGTGGGCTCTGCCACTGCACCAGGTGGCCCTGCCAGGCCCTCAGCCATTCTCCTCACCTTGGGCTCAACCAGGCACCACCTACCCTGGCTTCAAAGCCCTCCAGTGTCTGATCCCAGACTGAAGAACTCATCCGTGCTGAGATGCACATTTCTTTTTCATACTTACATCTCTGAAATACGTGTAATACGAAAGTGTCAGGCCATGGTCAGATGATCAGTATTTTTTGTTTTTGTTTTTGTTTTTGTTTTTGTTTTTTAATATTTTGTCACAAACTGAATTCCAGTTGTTTTTGTTTTTATAGTACATAGAATAAAATGTGTCCTACAACTCAGGTATCTTAGATTTGATGAATACCGGAAGGCTTTCCAGCCTCCCTGGCTGCTTCCTTCAAAAGCCTTCCACTGGAGCAAACAAGTTTCCTCTTCACCCTTACCCAGTACAGCACGTGCAGTGGCCACACGTCCCCGAATTTTTAATGCTGGCTCCTTTGCATAGAACCTATGCACAGAAATGTAAGGTAAAATGCTGGTTCCTAGGTCATGGTTGGGTTCAATAATCACTGTCTTCAAAAGCACTCTTCCGGGCGATTTTCTCAGTAAGAAAAGTGGGGAGGCTGGGCGCGGTGGTTCAAGCCTGTAATCCCAGCACTTAGGGAGGCCGAAGTGGGTGGATCACAAAGTTGAGAGATCGAGACCAACCTGGTCAACACGGTGAAACCCCGTCTCTACTAAAAATACAAAAAATTAGCTGGGCATGGTGGCGCGTGCCTGTAATCCCAGCTACTCAGGAGGCTGAGACAGTAGAATTGCCTGAACCCAGGAGGCGGAGGTTGCGGTGAGCCGAGATCGCGCCATTGCACTCCAGCCTGGGTAACAAGAGCAAAACTCCGTCTCAGAAAAAAAATAAATAAATAAATAAAAAATAAATAAGAAAAGTGGGGAAACAGTAGACTAGGCTGCCTCGATTTCAAGCCCAGCTCGCCGCTACCTAGCTATGTGACTCAGAGCAAGTGGCTTAAGCTTTCTCTTCACCATGTTGGCCAGGCTGGTTTTTTTTGTTTTAACGTCAGCTGATAACCTTCATCGGCAACAAGGCCAGGCTGGTCTTAAACTCCTGACCTCAAGTGATCTGCCCGTCTCAGCCTCCCAAAGTGCTGTGATTACAGGCGTGAACCACTGTGCCTGGCCACTGCTGCTGTGTTCTACAGATGGGGTACAGTGGACTGTTTGTTCCCCCCAGGATTCCTGTGTTAAAATCCTAACCTCCAGTGGGATGGTGTTAGGAGGTGGGGCCTTTGGGGATTGATTAGGTCATGAGGGTGGGGCCCTCATGAATGGGATTGGAGGGACCCCAGAGGGGAGTGGGGACAGCTGAAGGCTGGTCAGTGGATACAAAAGTATAGCTAGACAGGAGAAATAAGCTCTAGTGTTCTCTAGCACTGTAGGGTGAGTGTAACCAACAACACTCTATCATATATTTCCCAATAGCCAGAACAGCAAATTTGAAATCGTCCCAACTCAAAGAAATGATCAATGTTTGAGGTGATGGATATGCTAATTACCTTAATTTTCTCAGTAGGAAAAGCTGAGAAACAACAGACCAGGCTACCTAGATTTCAAGCCCTGCTTGTATACTTGTATCAGAATATCACACTGTAGTCCATAAATATGTACAATTATTCTGTTGATTGAAAATAATAATAATAAGGCCGGGTGTAGTGGCTGATGCCTGTAATCCCAGCACTTTGGGAGGCTGAGGCAGGCGGATTGCCTGAGCTCAGAAGTTCCAGACCAGCCTGAGCAACATGGTGAAACCCCATCTCTACAAAAAATACAAAAATTTGGGCATGGTGGCATGCAGCTGTAGTCCCAGCTACTTTGGAGGCTGAGAAGGGAGGATTACTTGAGCCTGGGAGGTCGAGGCTGCAGTGAGCCATGTTCATGCCATTGCACTCCAGCCTGGGTAAAAATAATAATTTTTGAGACCCTCACTCAATAATCATCATCATCAATGCAAATAAAGAAATAAAAGGGACCCCAGAGAGCCCTGTTACCCTCTTTTCACCACATGAAGATATCAAGAAGTCAGTAGTCTACAGCCCAGAAGAGGCCTTCACCAGAGCTCTCACGATAATGCCACACTGGCACCCAGATCTCAGACCTGTAGCCTCCAGAACTGTGAGAAACGAATTTCTGTTGTTTAAGCCCCCTAGTCTATGGCAATTTGTTATGGCAGCCCTGACTAAATAGAACTAAGTAGAACTGACTAAGACATGAGGTTACAAAGACTCATAGAAGACAAGCAGTTTGGCCTACCTGTGTTTCTAGGAGCTGGGACCACACCCAGCCTACCCCTGGCACCCAGAAGCCCAATTAATCTTGTCAATCTGCAGCCCCACATTGCCCCAAGCATCAGTCCTCCTCCTCCCCTGCCCCTTCCCTGCTCTCAGACTTCTCGGCAAGGGTAGCTAATAAATGGATGTATCTCCCAGCTGCTGGATGTGGGACCCACCCGCTCTGCATCTCTCCCTTCGGCTCATTCCCTCTTCCACAGCACAGCAGAATGGAACGTGACACCACTCTTGCCTATCCCCAACGTAAATGTTGCATAAGATGTCACCTGGCCAGCTCTGCTATCAGTGTCTCCAGCTCTGCAACCCAGATAGTGCCTAACTCAGATGGCCTGGTAACCCCTCCCCCTCCTGGCACTATCTATTCACACATGCCACCTGTTGGGGGATGTTTCAGGGGAAGGGGGCTGTGCAGACAGCCCTGAGAATGAGAGAGATGGTTGTGTCTTCAGCAGCCCATAACCCTGATAAGGAAGAACAGCTGGCAAGCGTATCATTGTCAAACAAATGCACAGTAAATGGAAAGATCAGGGTCCCACTTCCCCGCCTCAATGTATCACGCTTCCTTCTATTGTTTTAGGAGGAGCTTATTTATATAGTTCTTTATAGATTTCACTCCTCTTTGGCATAAAACTACTAAATCTTCATTTCCCCTTTGTTTATATATATATACACACACACACATATATATATATACATGGTGTCAATATGTATTTTAATCCAGTTGAATTATGTATTTTTTGTAGAGACAGGGTTTTGCCATGTTGCTGAGGCTGGTCTCGAACTCCTGAGCTCAAGCAATCTGCCCACCTCACCCTCCCAAAGTGCTGGGATTACAGACATGAGCCACTGCAGCTGGTCTTATTATTTTTAATTGACTGTGTGTGTGTGTGTGTGTGTGTGTGTGTGTGTGTGTGTGTGTATTTTTAAATAGAGATAGGGTCTCACTATATTGTCCAGGCTGGTCTTGAGCTTCTGGCATCAAGCAATCCCCTCTCCTTGGCCTCCCAAAGTGCTAGGACTACAGGCATGAGCCACTGTGCCTGCCTCCACCATCATTCTTGACATGGCCACCTTGCTCCCCACTGCCCACCCCTGCTCCCACCTCTCCCTTATCAAGCAGGGAGACTACAGAGAAGAGAGAGGTGGCAAGCAGCTTTTCTGGGAGCTCTGAAACCATTTGAGTAGCCTGGGTGCAAGATTTGGAGTCAAAGGTGTATCCCTTCTGACTTGCGTACTGAAAGACAAGTTACCCACTAAGAACCTTCTCTGTAAAATGGAGAAATACCCACCTCAATAGGTTGTGCTGAGGGCCTTCCAAATAATATATGTAAAAGTATTTCACAAATCATTACACTTATGTAAATACGTGGCTCAATAAAAACATCTTAGGAATACATCTAGTTTCTTGAGAACTGCTGCTTTAATTCTTTCAGGTCCTCAGTTGCCCACTGATCTGCTATAGCCTTGGCTAAGTCTGATACTTTCTCTCAGCAGCAGATTCCTCATCTATAGTGGGGGGATGGATATAGATCTCTTGGGTCCCCTCCACCTCTGCAGTCTTGACTCTATGTGTTTGGTAGTCTGGGATTTAGATGCCTGTCTCATTCCCCATCTTAAAGATGACACCACTTCTCATTCTGACCAATGATGTCAAGATGGTTTTACCCTAGTTTCCAATCCCCAGCGCCACTCCTGGACATCTCCCCAGCATGGAGAGTTTGTGTGTGGCCCCTGAGGTGGGCAGGGACTAAGGTACCAGAGGATGCAGCTCAAGGTCTTAACCCTCTTCTTGAGCTACAGAGAACAGCAAGACCACTTGGCACAAGGACCAAGAAGCCTTTCTGGGCTAGGAGCAGGAAAAAGGACAGGGGAGATCTTGCCTCAGGGCACAAGTAACTGCCTACCCCACAGTTTTGTCTTATTTATTATTATTATTATTATTTTCAGAGACAGGGTGTTGCCATCTTGCCCAGTCTAGTCTCAAACTCCTGAGCTCAAGTGATCCTCTCTCCCAAAGTGTTGGGATTACAGGTGTGAGCTGCTGTGCCCAGCCCTCACATAGTTTTAAAGGACCCTAGGCCAGGTGCTGTGAATCACTCCTGAAATCCCAACACTTTGGGAGACTGAGGTGGGCAAATCGCTTGAGCCCAGCAGTTTGAGACCTGCCTAAGCAACATGACAAAACCCCATCTCTACAAAAACACAAAAATATTAGCCAGACATGGTGGTGCACACCTGGAGTCCCAGCTAAAACTTGGGAGGTCGATGTGAGAGGATCACCTAAGCCCAAGGGGGTTGAGGCTGCAGTCAGCTGAGATCATGCCACTGCACTCCAGCCTGGGCCAAAGAGTGAGACTCTGTCTCAAAACAAACAAAACGTAACAAAAACAAAACAAAACCCAGGACCTTAGATAGCTTCCTCCACCTCACAAATTATCACTCCATTTGCTGCCTTAAGTATAAAATCCCGTAATCAAGGAACAAAGACTTTCAATCCCCGGTGAAAGAGGGGACTTTAGATGCAAGTTTTTATAGGCAAGTTCATATCCTGCATTAATAGCAACACTCCAAAATCAACAAGAGACCTTAGAATCTGAGAGCAGTTTGGGGTGGGAGGGAGAGAATGAGGACAGAGTTCTGGGCACTCTTAAAAAGAACGAAAGCTTGGGCGGAGCACCGTGGCTCACACCTGTAATCCTAGCACTTTGGGAGGCTGAGATGGGCGGATCACCTGAGGTCAGGAGTTCAAGACCAGCCTGGCCATCATGGTGAAGCCCCATCTTAAATAAAAAAAAAAAAAAGAAGAACAAAAGCCCAGAGGTGGGAGATGAAGGCATCTAGAATGTGCTTGACTGGGGTCACTACTTTGTGCTGAGGTTGGGTCCTATTCCCACATGGCCAACAATGGAAGTTTCCTTTTTTTTTCTTTTTCACAGCTGCAAAAACTGATGTGATGGCCTTAGAGTCAGGACAAGGAACTGTGTGTTCCTGGGCAAGTCACTTCCCCTCTCTGGGACCTCATCTGTAAGATGAGAGGGTTGGACAGTTTCATCTCTTAGGTCTTTTCTGCCTCTGCCATTCTAAGATTTTCAACTCCTCAGAATCTTCTGTAGAGCACTGAGTAGGACTGGGCTACGGGAGAACAGCTGAATATAAGGCCCAGAGCCCTGGAAGTGGGTGGGCAGGTGCAGCTGCAGCTGTGGCCCCGGGGTGGGCCCCTGCCTGCCCTCCCATCATCCCTGCTTACCGGCAGCCAGCTGCATCCATGCACAGATCTTGTAGACTGTGGCTGTGTTGCAGATGAAGAACAGGCTGAAGCAGATGATGGAGCCAATGATGAGGAACATGCCCAAGGCCACGAAGAACATGGCAGTCTTGAAGGCTCTAGAGGGGATGGAGGAGAAATCTAGGGGACCGCCTTTGCAGATGAGCTCGGAGGACAGCACGTTACCCACGCAGTAGGAGAAAAGGCCGAAGTAGCCTGCTTGCGGTGTGTTGACGCTGTCGCCGATCCAGTAGGGCTGGATGAAGAGGGCCATGACCAGCACGGAGAAGCAGATGGTGAGCGTGCCCCACATCACGCCCACGGCCCGCGCGTTCCGCACATAGTTGGTATGGTAGATCTTGGCTGCCTCCTGGGCCGGCAGCAATTTCACCATGGTGAGGGCAGCAGGCCCTGGGCTGGGGTCCCGTGGGCTGCAAGTCCGTGGCTTTGTGGATGGAGGCCTAGAAGCAGGTCACCGCCTTGCGGGGTTTGGGGAGGAGGCTGTGGTCAGGGCACGAGGTGAGGTCCCTCCAAGGCAAGGGGAAGAGGCTTAATAGGACAAGGACAGCCTTGGCTTGGTCAAGGGAACTTTGCCAGGTGCCTGTGTCCGCTCCAGCCGAGGCTGTCTCCAGTCTCCTGCCTCCTCCCAAGCCCGCCAGGGTCTCAGGCCTGCTGGCGCCGCCCTGCCCCTCTCCCTTCCGGGCTCACAGCTCCCGAGAGCCCCGCCTCCTTCTCCGTCGGCGGAGGGCGCCGTTTCAGCACCGCGGCCAGCGCCCCGGGGTTCTGGGCGAGGGGCGGGGCCAGCGGCAGAGGCGGGGAAGGGGCAGAGCGCCCACTACAGGCTCCCGCCACGGGGAATCAGGACCCGGTTCACCTTCCTGAACCAAGACAAGAATTGGGAGGGGTGGGGCTGCGGCTGACACATTGCTACTGCTCAATTCCAGCCGCAGAAACGCTTTCCCCCGCACAAGCGTTGTCCACATCCCATCTCACCCCGTCCCTACCCGGCTCCCTAGTCGCCTTCCCAGAACCTCCAGCCTCACCACCCCAGAGCTCAGCAAAGCCTTTTCGGTTGTCTTCTGGTCACTGGTTTTTCGCCCTTAGCATTCAATCAACAATTTCTAAAAGCCTAACTATATGTTAAGGTTATGTTGGAGGACATCTAAGCAAAACCACAGAAAAAAAAGACAGGGCCCTGCCCTCAAAGACAGTGAAAAATTTACATGTATAATATATGTGTATATGTAGTCTATAAAAATATATATAAAATGTCTGTATATGCAGACTGATTGTGTGATAACAGAAGCAACTACAAAGTATAGCAAACAACATTCTTTTTTTTTTTTTTTTTGAGACGGAGTTTCGCTCTTGTTACCCAGGCTGGAGTGCAATGGCGCGATCTCGGCTCACCGCAACCTCTGCCTCCTGGGTTCAGGCAATTCTCCTGCCTCAGCCTCCTGAGTAGCTCGGATTACAGGCACGTGCCACCATGCCCAGTTAATTTTTAGTATTTTTAGTAGAGACGGGGTTTCACCATGTTGACCAGGATGGTCTCGGTCTCTTGACCTCGTGACCCACCCGCCTCGGCCTCCCAAAGTGCTGGGATTACAGGCTTGAGCCACCGCGCCCGGCCTGCAAACAACATTCTTTATGAACCTTCGCAGACCTGAACTTACATGCTTTGTTCAATACAATGTCTTTCTCTCCTTGCTTCTATGTGGTTGTTACATATTTTTCTCTTTAAATATATATACACAGTTATCCTGATTTTATAGGTAAATACATGGCTAGTGTAGGGAACTAGGAAAATTCAGGAAAGTGTACACAAAATAATAAAAATCCTAACACCAACATCAGGAGCTAAGGAAAGACAAGACCATCTTAAAAACATGGACTTTGGCTTTCAACGGACCTAGACTTGAATGAACTACTTACTGGCTAAGTAACCATCCATGGACTTAACCTGCCTTCCTGAGCCTCAGTTTCTCCACCTATTAAATGCAGGAAATGATAATTTACCCACATAAGGGCTGGGTAAAATACATCTTTAGCCCAGGGCATATATAAAAGTGCTCAAAGGCCAGGCGTGGTCTCTAATACCAGCACCTAGGAAGGCCAGGCAGTTGGATCACTTGAGCTCAGGAATTCTGGACCAGCCTGGGCAACATAGCAAGACCCCTGCCTCTACAAAAAAAATACACAATTTAGCGAGGCATGGTGGTGCCTGCCTGTAGTCTCAGCTACTTGGGAGGCTGAGGTAGGAGGATCACTGGAGGTCAAGGCTGCAGTAAGCCAAGATCGCACCAGTGCACTCCAGTCTGGGCAACACAGAGAGACCCTGTCTCAAAAAAAAAAGAAAGAAAGTGCTCAGGCTGGGCGTGGTGGCTCACACCTGTAATCCCAGCACTTTGGGAGGCTGAGGTGGGCGGATCACGGGATCAGGAGTTCAAGACCAGCCTGGCCTACATAGTGAAACCCTGTCTCTACTAAAAATAAAATATTAAAAATAAAAATTAGCCAAGTGTTGTGGCACATGCCTGTAGTACCAGCTACTCAGGAGGCTGAGATGGGAGAATTGTTTGAATCTGGGAGGCAGAGGTTGCAATGAACTGAAACCATGCCATTACACTCCAGCCTGGGGTGATAGAGTGAGACTTCATCTCAAAAAAAAAAAAAAAAGAAAGTGTTCAAAAATGTTGGTGATTATGATTTCTGTTAATCTCTGCATTTTCCTCTTTTGAACATACTCCTTTAAACAGTTGGATAATGTTTGCACAATTTTGTATACATTTTTTCACTTAGCATTACAATGTTGGTATTTTCTTTTCTTTTCTTTTCTTTTTTAATAGAGACAGGGTTTCACCTTGTAAGCCAGGATGGTCTCGATCTCCTGACCTCTTGACCCACCTGCCTTGTCCTCCCAAAGTGGTGGGATTACAGGCATGAGCCATCATGCCTGGACTAATATTTTGTCTTTTTTTTTGGAGACGGAGTCTCACTCCGTTGCCCAAGCTGGAGTGCTGGAGTGCAGTGGTACAATCTCAGCTCACTGCAACTTCCACTTCCCAGGTTCAAGTGATTCTCCTGTCTCAACCTCTGGAGTAGCTGAGATAACAGGTATGTACCACCACACCCAGCTAATTGTTGTCTTTTTAGTAGAGGCAGGGTTTCACCATGTCAGCCAGGCTGGTCTCGAAATACTGACCTCAAGTGATCCACCCGCCTTGGCCTCCCAAAGTGCTGGGATTACAGGAGCGAGCCACTGAGCCCAGCCCTCCACGTTTTTTATTATTAAAAGCAACCCTACTGGCCAGCCTGCATTTTTGTATCACTGGAACCAAATGGGTTTTTCCCGTTTTGAGGGTCTCTTGGCTGTTCCTCCAGCTGTTCCTCTACATTCCACACCCCAGGGATGTAAAGGTGAGAAGAAGGGGGTCATATTACATGCCACCCTGTGCCAGGCACTTCAGAAGGGATTTCACTTGCATTGTCTTAATCCTGACCTCAGGAAGTAGGAGCCATTATCCCCCTAAGGTAAATCAGGAAAGTGAGGTTCAGGGAGCTTCACTTTCAATAATGTGTCTCAGATCATGTAGCTAGTAAATGTTGAGTTTTGAAGCCAGCTTGGTCTGGATTGAAGCTGTGCTTGAGACTGGGCACAGTGGCTCACACTTGTAATCTCAACACTTTCGAAGGCTTGCTGGAACCCAGGACTTTGAGACCTGGGAGGCTGAGCTGCTTGAGCTCAGGAGGTGGAGGCTGCAGTGAGCCAAGATGGCACCCCTGCACTTCAGCCTAAATGACAGAGTAAGGCCTTGTCTCAAAAAATTAAATTAAATTAAATAAGCTGTGCTTGGTCAGTCGCAGTGGCTCACACCTGTAATCCCAGCACTTTGAGAGGCCGAGGCAGGCAAATCATGAAGTCAGGAGATTGAGACCATCCTGGCCAATACGGTGAAACCCCATCTCTACTAAAAATAAAAAAAAATTAGCTGGGCGTGGTGGCGCTTGTAGTCCCAGCTGCTCAGGAGGCTGAGGCAAGAGAATCACTTGAACTTGAGAGGCGGAGATTCCAGTGAGCTGAGATCGTGCCACTGCACTCCAGGCTGGTGACACAGACCAAGACTCCATCTCAAATCATAAAAAAATGCTGTGCTTGAGTGTGGGAAACATTCCCATGTGAGACCCCCAAAAGGCGTGGGTCTCACTATACGGTGAGTTTGATCCCAAACACAGTTTCCTACTGGAGGCAGTCGAGCTATCAAGAAGAAGGAACTGAAAGATAAATGATCAGTTCCTAATATCAACCATGATATCATTTGGGCCTAAACTATGCGGTGCTGCTAGACCCAGTGACTTCCTACCAGCAACCAGTTTCTGCTTTGAACTTTTAATAGCTTTAACCTTTTCTTTACTTGCATGACTGTCTTGTACCCTAGATAATGGTTTAACTGAGGGGATATTTGCAAAGCAAATGCCACTATATGAATGGCTTTGATCCCAGACTCAGAGACTCCTGAATGGGGGAGTTAAGATAAGTTGAATCAGGAGCAGACAAAGGAGAATCTGGTTAAAAGATATTCTGATAAGCAAAACCAGAAAACCTTTTTACATGTGAGTCCTAAAACAGGATCAAACCAGAAATACCTGCAGCCATGAGGAATAATGTCTGGATGTAAACAAGCTTTGTGATCACAGGAAATTCTATTACTTTTTACAACCACTGTTTGTGTATCTGACTTCTCTATTGTATAGGCCATGTAAGGTATAGATTTTCATTTCCTCTTGCAATGACGTAAGCCAGAGCAAAGAAAGTTTATTTATTCCTGGCCTTTGAAAAATAAAGGCTGCTATTTAGGCACGGCCTTCTCAGCCCTCCAGAACCCCGTACTTTCTATCTCTCTTTATTTCTTCAAGAGCACGCTGTCTTCCAGGTTCTGGGACCCTCTTGCAGGTCGAGACACCACCGGCAGACGTGCCATCCCGGACCGGTCCCTGACACTTGAGGCAACCCAATTTGTGCCTCTCAGTGGAGCTGTCTTGTCTACCACCTCCTGGGATGAAGAGGGGAAGGGCGGGGGCCTCTGGCTGCCGTGACCAGTCCTTCAGGAAAAGCTGCTCTGTTCCCATGCCTGAACAAACTCAGACACCTGTGCCTTTCCCAGGTTCCTGAGGCCCCTGCTCCATCTGAGGATCACAAGACCTCTTCATTCTTAGCCAGGACTAGCGACTGCTCATGCGCACACATGGCCTTGGGTAGGGGACAGCGTGAGTGGAAACCTTAATGAAAGGGGAGCCTGATGCTAGAATTGCAGATAATAAGTGGGGTGGAAAGGAAAGGGGAGAGAGACATGCAGAAAGGGCCTCCTAAGGGCCCTTGAGTCACTCCTGCAGGCAGCCCCCTGGTGTGAGGGCAGGGGGAGGGTGCCAGAGTGACAGCACACACATCTTGGCCTGCTGGGGGTGCAGT